TCCCTACTCTTCTCCATAGCCTTTGTGAATATAAAAAATTACAGAAACTTTGAGTAATTTTTTTTCTTCAGCTGAATTTTATAAGATATCCCTGTAAATTCTTTAAAATGTAGCCACCCTAATAGGTACAATATAATTAAGTAACATTTTATTATAATATGTTCAATTAAAAGGAGTTTGAATATGCATAGGAAAGTTATCTTTTCCTAAAATCCTCCTGGCTGGAGGTCACGTGTGCTTTGAATTAAATTGTATTTCCTACCTCTCTGCCTTCTTTTCAATAATTACGAACGAAGGCACTAAGCACTTGATTCCAAGTTGTTTTGGCAGTATAAATAAGCCCTGAAGTGGCTACAAACAGCATGGCCATAGCGGCATGATGAATTGTAAGGCCAGATTCCTGATCTCATCAAGCTCCTGGAAAAGGCCTATAGGTAGGTCTAAATGGAGGGAGGGAGGCAGGCAGCTGTGCCACCCGCTCCACTTTGCTGTAAGTTGGCTGGATAAAGCCTTGTAACTGCGTTAGGGCAATTACAGACCTGGACTAATAAATCCCCTGTCCCCTTCATCACCTTCAGTTTACTGGACTGCGCTGAGAGTTGATCTATATGAAGTTAGTTATGTCGCTGGCGGGGCTGGAACTGCACAGCTGGGTATGGTGCATTTAGAGCTCAGAGAGTCATTAGAAAATATGTCTGTGTTTGTGTAGGCATTTCCCATGTGTCTACCTTGGGATTCATATTTGGAATGTCTAAAATATTCTTACTGTCTCCTATTAATTCTTTGTTTTATAGTATAGCTTAGAGGCCATAACCAAGACTAGATTCTTGAAATTGTGCTTTGCAATGGGGTTGAGCGACTTACAGGGTGGACACAGGGGAACGTGTGCAGAGATAAAAAGAATGTTTCCTGAGGTAATGTAATAACCAAGAGAACAGAAGGAGTTCGACCCCCAGCGTGGGGCTATAACAAGAACTCCTGGTCTTCCATCAGAAGAATTTGAAGACTCTTCTACAATCAGGACCCAGTTTCACTGCATGTGAGTAGACAGTCAGCATGCCCTGCTATATCCTGAGGCCACTGGAGCTACTCTGGTATCCAATAGATCTGCATGTGTGCTGTAATAATTTTCAGAAGTGACATGTTTTTTGTATCAGACAACAGCAAGTTTTCTGTCTACTGTCTTAGCATCAATGGAATAACTCGAGCTACAGGATGTGATTAGATCACCTTCACAGTTCAAGTCCAAAATTTTGCATCTGTAGTTGCAGAAAAATTTCTTTTTGTGAACATTGCTGTGTTCACTGCTAAATCCATGTATTCTTAAACAAAACCAGCCAACACACATGCACATATCTTAGCAGTGGCAGAATGAGCAACAGCACCATGATATTATACTGTGACAGATGAGGAGTTGCATGTGTTGTTAGTGCTGACTAAGAACAGACTTGCCAGACTTTGATGAAAGTAGGGTTGGGCTTTCAAGGCTGAAAAATTCTTCCAGTTTACTGAGTTTGATTTTTCAGCTGAACAGTTTCAGCCATTGATGGAGATGGCCATGAACATTAAATGTACAGAAAGAGCAATCACATGATGTGGCATCCAAAATTAAAGGAATACCTCTGATTTAATGAAGGGCTTGATATTAGAGTACTACACATATGCCCAGGAAAGGATTGAAGTTTACGGACTCCATCATTCATAATTAAGACAAGAAAGCATGCTAAATTCATGGGTAAGAATTTTATGTTTTTCCTGTAACAAGCAGTCTAATGAATCCAACCATCTTACGGGCTGTGGATCTAAAGATGCAAGAAAAGTTTTAATTTTTAAAAAAGTGACCTGTTTGATTGATTCAGTTTTTGTACCTGCTTAGTGGGTTGTCTCTTCTCCTGGACCTGAAAGAAATACGGTTTAGATCTGTGACTCTCTGGCAATGAATATCTACAAGCTCCTCTGTCATTGTCTCCAGCAGTGTCTGCACACTGTTGTGGAAAGTCAAGAGGGTTTCAGTTGATGAGCTGATTTACTGCCAGGTTTGTTGCAGGGCCCTAAATCCCGAGGTCTCTACTTCCCTGTGTCCCCCTTGTACCTGTGATGTGGCCTCCAAAGTCTTGGAGTAGATAGAAGACCTTGTTTCAGTAAAAAATTACTTTTTGAGGAAACTTCTTTTGGAGCTCAGAAACATTCTGGCACTGAAAAGAATCTTGATTTGCGTATATAGCTAATTGTAGCTCACCATTTATCAATAGTAGTCATTCATACGACATTTAACTTGTATTTGCAAAGTTCCATTAGGTTTAGTGTGTTTGTTTATTTAAAACATATCTAATTTTGTATGTGTAAATATATCCTAGGAACCATATTCTTCCATGTCATACCTGTGGGGTTTTTGACATTTTTAACAAGGTTATAATAAGCGATTAATTTGGCCTGAAGTAAAAAAAAAAAAGATTAAGCTGAGTTAACTGCTTATTTTGTGCAATTTTATTCCTTATTTACTCTCTTTGCCCCTTGCTCCTTTTTGCTTGTTATTCTTTATAGCAGAAGTCCTGATTTTACATGAACTGCTTTATTTCTTGGGATTGCTCTGAGAATTTTGTTTGCCTGTTTGCAACTGTATTTGAATCTAGTACAAATCTATTCCAATTACCAGATATGTTTTCCACATTTCTGACTATTCATACACCAATATATTTCTGTTACATGTGCTCTCAAAGCGTACCCTTTTAGCTCATCTTAACAAATTAATAAAGCATTTTACAGGGAGTCCTAGCTTTTGTTATAAAATACCAAGCATTATTTGCAACTTTTACTTTAACATCTTACCTGTTAGGTAATCATCTCATGCATTCCCTTTTTATGTTCAACTGAATTGATATGAAAGGATATGATGCAATGTGAGTATTAAGTGGAGCATTTCATATTTTAGTTCAACTGCATTTAGCATATT